AGAAACCCTACTTTGTTTTCCTTAGACTTTTTATTCCAAGATGAAGGGGATGATTGAGGTTGGTCAGGTGGGTCATGATTTGAGGTAGAAATTACTAGTGTGATTTTACGTTTTTGCCCTAATTCCTGGGGTCATTGCCTCCACAAAATTTTCAGTTTCTTTTTTGGGAGTAATGACGCATACATATTCATGAAGTTTTTCTTTTTTTTTTTTTAACTGGAGTAGATTCATAACCTGAACAGTTGGTTCTTAATTTTCCAGTGTTTTTAAACCATATCGTAACAGTGGCAAATGACTACAGTTATTTCCTTATTCTCTAGGGTATATTTGTTCAGCTGGTCCAGGCAAATTCTCCAGCCTCTTTGGTTGGTCTGAGATTTGGGGACCAGGTACTCCAAATCAACGGGGAAAACTGTGCAGGTTGGAGCTCTGATAAGGCACATAAGGTGCTGAAACAGGCTTTTGGAGAGAAGATTACTATGACTGTTCGTGACCGGTAAGTTGACTAGACCGTTGAAATGGAAATTCAAGACTAGTTTTCCATTCTCTTGGGCTTTGAGATTCTGTGGATATGATTGACTGTGTTGCAGAAGCATATTAGATGTTATTGATTAGCCTTACAGTCTTGCAGTTGTTCGGTGCCGATTTTTCTTAAAAATTTTTAGAGCATTCTGGTTTCGTATGCATCCTCTAGAAGTTACCTTCCTGTCTCTTTCCCTAGATCGTAGTAAATGAACATTGGAAGGGCAAGCAGCATGGCCTCTCTGGCCTCACTTTCCAGTTTACTGTTTAGACATCCAGCGTAGGAGGGACACAGTGCCAGGGTCCCTGCAGAGCTCCCAAGTTGGGGTGGGAGTTCTAAAAACCAAATCTGGCCTTCAGGGGGGTTATGAAGCTCTAGTTGCCAAGGTAGAAAGGTGGCATTTTTATATTTAGCAGTTTATAAACCAAACATTTGGCACGGAAATAAGGCGTCTATTTTCCTGCCCCTTAGCAAGTGTTAAGGGTCGACCTGTGTCACATTGGGTACAGTTAGCTTTTGGGTTTTTATTCTTCTCAGTTAAACTTCGGTTTTATCTAATTTTGTTCCTAATTTCTCACACGGTAGGTGTTTAGTAAACATTCTGCAGATGGAACATCTTCTCTACTTTAAGGAGAATTTTGAAGAGTAACTTGGGCCAATAGAAAGAATTAAATTTTTCACTTAACCCATTATGTCTGCAGGCCCTTTGAACGGACGATTACCATGCATAAGGATAGTACCGGACATGTTGGGTTTATCTTTAAAAATGGAAAGATAACATCCATAGTGAAAGACAGTTCTGCAGCCAGAAATGGTCTTCTCACAGAGCACAACATCTGTGAAGTCAACGGGCAGAATGTCATTGGGCTGAAGGTGAGAACAGAACTTGGGTCTCGTGCTACCTTTCCCATTTGTTTCAGTGGCATTTGCATGTAGACTTACAAAATAAATAGGAACTTGGGGAGATGTGGGAACTAGGACTCTGGCTGTGCTCTCAGGCCAAAGGAATTACCTGGACTATTCTCTGGAATTGTCGTTCCTATAGCAGAGGGCTTGACTACTATGATCTCTGCAGTCCCTTGAACTAGAATTCTGTGGAGATGTGGGCATTGAGGATTTTGAGGACATTCTGAATGAGTGATTACTCAGCTTTTTCCAACCCAGGAATGGTAGGAAGTGAGTAATGGTTTCTGTTTAGATTAGTACCACATTTTCCCCCTCCACAGATTCCTAAATAAGGCTATGTTAGGGTCGAAAGGTTTTCATTAAGACCTGCTCGTTTCATGAACTTGGTTAAGAACGCACTGTTAACTGAGAGGACACGGGAAGTCTTGTACCTGAAGAAAATTATTTCATCTTAAGTAATGAAAAAGATGATTCTTTGGCTACAATACTTAGTTTACTTAGCAGTTTTGTTACCACCTATAAAATTGCCATTCTATAGAATTAAACTCGGTGAAACTAGAAAAAATACCAAATATCAAGGGTCAGATTTTAGAATCATTAGCAAAACGTATGTGGACATACATATTTACCAAGAATAACATAATTTCATACTTCTTAAATAAAGCCTTAGAATTAATTTTCATTGCGTGTTTTTAACAGGACTCTCAAATTGCAGACATACTGTCAACATCTGAGTCTGTAGTTACTATTACGATCATGCCTGCTTTTATCTTTGAACATATTATCAAACGGTAAGTAGACCGTACTTGAACTTGGTGCTTACGGTCCTGTGAGGTAAAAGAAAGTCCTTGTGCCTATGAATTCCTCCATCTGTGGTTCTTTTACCTAAGGGATGACGTGTTGATCTTGAAATTTGAAGTTAATTATTTAAATCAGGGGAATTGGTAAGGATGACCACTCACAACTTCCCAAGTATTGAAAAAAATTCACCATCTGCTTCTGAAATTTTGACCTTTTCTGGTAGAAAAGAGGGACGTGAGCAGAAGTGGGCAGGCTTTCACCTCAGCTTCAGTAAAATGGACTAGAGTTGCACTCTGCCCGCAGTTCCTCTGCTCAGTAGAAATCTACTCGTGGGGGTTCACGATGGGAGAATTCCTGCCTGTGGGATGTTAGGAGTAACAGTGCCTATTCTGAAAACATCTCAGGAGGCAGGTCAGGCGTGTGGTGCCACCATGGTTCTCAGGAAGGGAGGCTGGAAAACTGACTTGGGGGAAGAGAAGAGGGACAGCTAGTGTTACCTTCCCTAGAACCTTTGAAATCCTGGCTTTTGTCAGCTGTTTTTACCAAGCCAACTTGGATCCTTTTTTCAGATTCTGTCTTGCCTGTAGAGATAGGATTTAAAAGAGTAAAAACATTATACCTTAGGAAAGTTTGTGTTTATGGATAGAAGGAAAAGGAAGCTGGAGTCGAGACTAGTCAGAGTTCTCTTAAACCAGCGATAGGGTCTCCCTTCCCCTTTCCCTCCCAGTTCATAGCAGTGTTGTCATATTCCTTGTTTTAGTCACCGGTATTAATATTCAAGCACTTGTATCTGATCCAACTTTTCCCAGCCTTTCACAATGGGTATTTTGTGAAGTAGATTACCTGGGACTGTTAGAACTCATGATGAAAAAGACCTTCCCTCTCCCCACAATTCCACTTGATCCCAAGTGCTAAGCTTGAGTGCGAGTTTTCTTGGATCAGCATAATAGCTTTTTTGAACCAAGAAACCCAAACCTCAGTATTTAATAAACTCTCTCGTAGGATGGCCCCAAGCATTATGAAAAGCCTGATGGATCACACCATTCCTGAAGTTTAAACGTCATGGCACAATGGAAACTTCACTGAACTTCTCCAGTTTACTTCTTGGGCAACTTAACTTTATATTATGCACATGAAGCTTTCTAGGAGCCAGAGAGCATATGCTGCATGAAGACCTTTCTATCTTACATTATGGCTGGGAATCTTAACTGTTTTGATCGGATATCTCCTCCCACTTCAAGATCGTTGTAGCCTTATCCTGGTTTTACAGATGTGAAACTTTGGACAGATTTACTGATTTTCATAGAGTAGTTTCTCTACTGGAAACCCGATGCTTTTACAAGCCATTATGATTAGAATGACTGATACAGGCTTAGCTCTGTGTTAGAAGGAATCACCTTTATCCTGTATATCAAGTAGTGCCGCTCACGTTACTTTAGTTCTGTGGTATAATTGCCTTTTTAATGTGTTGCCATAGTACGTGTAGAATGATTGCTTTTGATGGTTTTTTAGTTCTGCGTGCGTGCGTGAGTCAAACACCAATTAACAACACTGGTTTCATTCCGTGTAAGCATTATACAGTGTAGGTTGCAAAAGACTGTGTTGATCATCATTAAATTGTAACTACCTTTACTCTATATGCTTGAACTGTCGCCTTAACTGTGGTAAGCATCTAGAATAAAAGCCAAAATAGAACTATTGCTGCCTTTCTAAAACCCAGAATGCAGTTCTGTATTAAACTGAAATGTACACTAGCCCAGAACGGTTAATGGTACATACTGAGCTACCGCATAGCTGCTTAGTTGCATTGGAGATTTTCTAGTCGTCGTGTAATGGAAATTTCTTTCTTCAAAAGTTACTGACCTTCCTTCCTAGAAATGAATCAGTATGTATTAACTGTAAAAATTCTTATACCAAATAGGATAAACTTTGACTCTCTTTTTTCATTTGTAGATTAAGTGGAATAGTATCTAATTTTGTCATTTACTCTAACATTATGTAACCTAGCTACTTCGGGATGGCCTTAGGATGTCTTCCAGGTAATTTGTTCCATTTCCTGACCCCTCCCTACAAACCAAGTGGCATATGACACATTACCCTCATTTTTTTGTTTTTTGTTTTGGTTTATGCCTATTCCATTTTAATTAAATATGTATAAATAAAGTTAACTTTTAGCCTATTTATTGCATCATTTGGAAACTGTCCATGGATTTCACCAAACTTGCGCATGACTTAGAAGACAGGCCCGTGGGGTTGTCTCCCGGAGCAGCTGACGTCCACGGGCCCTGAGAAGAGCCCTCTGTGCTGAGAGAGGAGGAGGAGCGTCTGTCAGGAGAAGTGCTTCCGCCTCCGAACCCCAGAGGGCCGGCGTGCACATCCAGGCAGAGAAACAGGAGGCCACTGAGGCTCCTTGCAAACCTGAGACTGAGTCATGTTTAATGACACTTGTTACCCTGGTCAAGTTCTCCCCCCCCCATGTGATACGGCCTATAAGACCTAACAATGTTTTTAAAGATCATAGAAGAGTTTTAACATAAAGGCATATCAGTACTGTTTAACATCTTACCTTGAGATTTAGAAAAGCAAACCAAACATTTCCCCGTTTACTTTACCTTGTTTTGTTCTCTGGATTTGGACTATCTGAAGACAGTTCCAAAAATATAAGAAGGACATTCTCATCACTAAGTATGGTTTTCTAGAAGGACCAATACTTGAAGTTCGTAAAGGGCACTAGCCTTGGTAATAAATCACTTAAGAAAATGAAAACAGCTTTCATTACAGAAAAATATTTTTAATGTAGAAAAGATGAGCATTTAATAGCTATAATGAAATAAACTGTCATGTACACAGTAAACTTACTGTTACAAGAATTGCTGATCCTTCCCCAGGTTCTTAGAATCTGAGAACAGTAGGTTATACAAAGTAAACCACTCCATGAAAACACATATCCAAGGACCCAATGGGCAGCAATTTCGTAGGTAAGGAAGACAAAACAGCGTGACTCAGAAGTAGCAGAGAATACTGCACGTTTTCTTGGAAAATTCTGAGCTGCTCAGCATTTTTTGGAAGTTGTCCCAACTCCGTTTTGTATCTCTTAGCTACTTTTCTTTGCCACTCAAACCTGCTGTCTGACCGGGACGAACACCTGCCTTACAGATGTAATGTTTTCTCCCTACCACCACCACGTTTTGTCCGCCTTAGAGGATGGCGACCAATGGCTTTCAACGAAGTCACCATGATTTTGGAAGTTTAAAACCACAAATACCCCGTGTGGTAAAACTTCGAATACCATCATTGCACATTCACCAGTTGATTTCAAAGTTTGGTTTAAAAATACATTAAATAGAGTTCGACTTAACATTCAAGAGAGGAAAAGGCACTTAATACTGCAATTTCCAGAACATAATTTGTCTGTCTTCCCCTCCTGTGATGATACTGCTACACTGTTCATTCATCCATATACATGTCACAGCACCTAAGGGAAAGAGACCGTGTGGTTAGGTGGCAAGTTGACCAGGGGGCCCCGAGATCCGCTGTTAAGTACTCTCATCCTATAATCGGTGTGTCAATGAAAAATAACTGCTTGGCACAAGGAACGTGTGAGGAATGAGAAACCGCTCACGTGTAAAGCTGAAATAACGGAGGATTAGGGGTAACACCAGAATGCAAGTATATACACCTACGATAACAGGAGGCAGACGAGAGGAAGAGGTAAGGAATTGGTGTAAGGCTGCGAAGTCCATTTACTGGACAGAGTCAAAGGTTATTTAAAGCCGGTAAACTGAGAATGACCTCCACAGGTCACTTTAGAACGTGAAGAAATAACAATGTCACCAAAGGAAAAAGGGAAGAGGATGTCGGGGGGGAAGTTCCTGGTCACAGTGGAAAAGTAGATACTTATAACCTTAGAAACTAGAAGAATTAAAGACCATAGATCTTCGAGATGAGGAGGCAACCGTGCAAATAGAAGCACATACAGTGAGTCTCCAGGGGATACTGGGTGGGAATAAAAGGGCAGAATACTTCATACACGTACAACACATCCATCATCTCAACAGCGAGTGCACCCACACCCAGGACGCAAACTGGAAGAAAGTCCTCAAAGGAGAACAGGGAGGAAGGGGGTCAGTGGTGGGAGGAAGATCGTTTTTACTGAAATTAATTACTTTTGTGCTGTTTTGGGGTTTTTAAAAAACTTTGTGCATGTACTTAAAAAAGTTGCAACTTTTACTATGGTTTTTAATTCTCCAAGTGGGAGTTAATGCAAAAACTTCTTTTTTGGAGTCAGTCAACATAAATCTCAGTCCCGAAGGGTCACTTGGCCAATGAAGATGCTCGTGGGGAACGTTTACGACGTGGAGGGCAGTGGGGTGTTTTCTGCCTGGGAAAGGTAGGTTTCCTGATGGGAAAAGCAGGTTGGAGTTCAGCCTTTTAGGAAGAAAGGTCAAGTCAACTGCATAACCGCTTACCTGTGTGGCCCTGTATTCTCTCACTGAGCTTTCCTCCGAGGAGGTCCCAAACAAGCAGTTCACCAGACTGACTTCCAGACAAAACAGAATTTCCATCCCAGATGAAGCACCTGCAACAATGATTTAGAAATAGTCATTTGGTCATTTATCATGAAGGAAGGGCCCTATCCACGCTGGCCAAAGCAAGCCCAAATGTCACGATCATGAGCTTGTCCGTAAACGTCTTCGCCCTCTAGTAACGCGAGCAAGAGAGCGTACCTCTGGGGCTCGTCTGAAGTCATAGAGGAGATGAGCATTCCCGTCTGCACATCTATGACGTTTAGACAGCCATCTGCACCTGTGCTGAGGACGTGGCGACTGTCTGTAACGCGAGAGACCATTACAGCTTCAGAAGTGTGTTCTAGATCGTTCTGATGTTTCATCTCTGGCATAGTGTTCGCTTGCATTTTCCCTGAGCTACCTGTACTTAACCAAGGACTCTCCTCTCCTGGAAATGTTTGTTTCTACGACACTGGGCCGATGACCCTTTGGGGTGAGTCCACCCGTGCACTATAAATCAGTTCCTCTGGTGAGCTGGCGGATTAAGAGCAGTGTCCGCCGTAGCTCTCCTGGAGGTACAAATGGCCCAAGTAGCCCGTATTCTGCCACGAAGCAGCCTTGGATACAGGCGAAACTACTTCTATCGGCAGCCTGTTTTTCTTTTTACATTCTTATGATTTCAAGATAATAATTCTGATTCCCCCAGTATCCTCTGTATTAAAAAGGATAAAACTACCTGGGCTAAAAGCAGCATCACGTATGGTCCCCGAATGGCACGGGATCTGGTGCAGTATGGTGGCCGTGGTGAGGTCCCAGATACTCACTGTGCCTTCTCTGGTGCCCGAGACCAACATCGTACCTGCGGCGTTTAGGCTAATTGTATCTACCTGAGGAAGGAAACACATAACGTCGTAATCCATTTAGAATTAACGGTCATCGTGGTTTCCCTAGGCTGACTCGACTATGTGCACGTGATGAAGGTTAAGCTCTAACGGACAGTGTACTGATGTGGCTAATGCAGACGTGTTTCAACATCGCCTACGCAGTTACTGAAAAATGAAATTCTTCATATGCTAGTGAACAAAATGAAATATTGCCAACGTAAATGGAATGCAGTTTTAAAAGAGCCTAAAATTGGGGTGCCCGGGTGGCTCAGTCGGTCCAGTGGCCGACTTCGGCTCAGGTCATGATCTCGTGGTTCGAGAGTTCGAGCCCCTTGTCGGGCTCTGTGCTGACAGCTCAGGGCCTGGAGCCTGCTTCGGAATCTGTGACTCCCTCTCTCTCTGTCCCTTTCCCACTCACTCTCTGTCTCAAAAAGTGTTAAAAGAAATTCTTTTTAATAGCCCCAAATCGACAGTTTGTGAATAACTGAATAACTGAATAATCTGTGAATTACAAATTGTAACGAGGTACCAAACTGAGGCACAGGTGATCCATGTTATTTGAGGGATTTCGGAGAAATGGGGATCTCTCGGGTTATATTTGCATGCGTGCCTGGAATCACATACTCGAAATATTTCTGAACCTTAGCTCGTCTGTTGGCCACGCAAATCAGGTTTCAGGTCACCATCTCAGAGAAAAGACGGTACCGTGAGCTCCAGTGGGAGGAGCAGCTGTGTGACCCACTGGTTGTGGAACGAGTGAGGGGAACCAAGTGTGAGCTCTGGTTCTGCCCCAGGTCACGTGCGCCCGGGCCACCCAACACCAGGTTTACGTTCTTGGCTGTTGGAGGGTGTCACGCTAGATAGTCCCTTCTACTAATGTGCTGGAAAACATGAGAGACGATGGGGCATACTTTCTTGCCCCACATAGTTCGAGGGGATCTAAATAGTCATGGTCATGCTCAGAAATTGGATAGGACAGTAGCTGATTCTCAGAGAAACAGCCAATTGGAGAAAAAAAGGCAAAGCAGACTTGGAAACCCAGAGTCGAGTCAAAGAAAAGAACGGAGAGCCCGTGCTCTCCTCCCACAAGCGAAATAAAATGAAGCCAAAAAATGAAAACACAGGTTAAGACCAAGAACAGCCCACCCTCCCTCGGGCTCAGGCGTGTCGTTGCTGGTACTCACACTGACGTCGTGTTCCAGCTCGGCCAGCATGTCAAACCGGTGTCTTTTGGGGCATGTCGTTTCTGCAGGAACCCCGGACCACACCTAGGGTAGAACGTATCACGGGAGGGATTTGCAAACATTCAGAGCGAAAGCATTTCTAACACATCCAAGAAAAGTGCCCTTGACCAACCAACTCCCATTTAACCTATTTGCCAACAAAACACAGCTGTGACTAAGTGCTTCTGGCTCCCTCCCTGCACTGCCCACGCTTGTGTTCCTGCCACAGGTGCTTGCCCGGTGTCGACTGCACCTGTGTCTGTTTCTGTCCTTTGCACCTGCTGTCGTCGCCGTGGTCTTCGTGTGAACTACGGAAACCTGACTGCAGAAGCGCTGTGGCATCCAGTGATGTTTCGAGAAGACCCAAAAAGGCAAGTCACCGGAAAGAATTGCCAAAATGCGGCGCGGGCAAGAAAATTTCTCTATAAGAATGGGGGGAAATCCTGAAAAACTCCAGAAGGAATTCTAATAGTTTTAGGTTCCTGCTTGCTTTTTACATAAATGCAAATTGGAAACCGAGGATGCTGAACGCTGGTGTGGTCTCTGCAAGACAGTTGGGCAGGATTCCAAAGCGAAGGCCAAGGATGCCCCACATTGACAGAATGCTGAAGGTGTGTGCGTTTGTATGTTCTAACTTTAAGTCGAATGCATTCTCTTTTCATGATTCCCCACTTCAGCTTGATGTTTTTTGATTAACTGCTAGTTCAAACTGTGAGATAAGAGGACTCCTACTGCATACAGTTGGCCCTTGAACAATGCAGGGGTTAGGGCTCTGACCACCCCGCGCGCCCCCCCCCCCCCAACGCCATGCACTTGAAAATCTACTTATAACTTTGACTCTCCCCAAACTTAACTACTGTACTGATTGCCTACTGTTGACCGGAAGTCTTACTGACAACATAAACAGCTGACTAACCTAGTCTGCATCTTATATGTATTACAGACTGTAATCTTACAATAAGCTACAGAACATAAAATGGTAAGAAATCATAAAATAGATTTACAGTAGTGTATGAATTTACCAACAAAAATCCACGTATAAGTGGACCTGAGCAGTTCAAACCTGTGTGATTCAGGGGTCCAACTGTTCCACCTCATTTAACGCCCTGGTTGAGCGCACAGTACAAAAGTCATGAAGACTTCCTATTAAGAGGTGCACACATTAAACAAACACAGGCAGGGGCGCCTGGGTGGCTCAGTCCATCCAGCTTCCGACTTTGGCACAGGTCATGATCTCACAGTTCGTGAGTTCGAGCCCCGCGTTGGGCTCTCTGCTAGCAGTGCAGAGCCCTCTTTGGATCCTCAGTCTCCCCTCTCTCTACCCGTCCCCTGCTCATGCTTGCTCTCTCTCTCCCTCAAACGTAAATATTAAAAAACAAAAAAAACAAAAAAAAACCAGGCATTAACATTCAGGATCTTTATGTGTCACTTATACACTTTGTGAAAAATAGTGAAGTGACTGAACACATGAACAGACAGCAGAATGGTTTATAATACTTGTATTATCCTAACATTTTAAGCTAGAAATTCTATGCAGACCTTCACTGTGGAGTCCCACGATGCGGAATACAGCCGGTTGTCATGCCAACAGATCTTACTAACGGCATCGTCGTGTCCCATTAACGTGTCCTGGCGTCTTCCAAACGCTATAGAATAAAAATAGCTAACAGACAAGATAATGAGAACTATTAAAAAGCATTCCAGCTTAATTTTAAGACCCTTAAACACATATTCAAGGAATATATCGTTTTAGTCCTCTACTTAGACCCACTAGAATTACAAATTTACTTGTTCTCCTGTTACCAGGCCAAAATACTCAAAATCTGAATTTAAAGCTAGAAATCTCCAGGTCTGGCTCATCTGTGTTTTCACCTCCATTTAACACACAGAGGAAAACAGAGTCCAGTTGGAGAACTTATTAGATTCAAATGCGGAGTCAAAGCCTTCAGCACTACCCTTCTGTAGTATGTGACAATAGCGCAGTGTCTCCCCAGCGGAAGACCTGGCCCTTCCTGCCTTTCGTCCGCAAAGACAGCGGGGCCACTTGAGGGATTACACGAGCAGCCCGCGCAGATACATACACATTGTTGTCCCATGAAGAACTGATGACCGTGGCGTCTCCTGGCAAAAGCAAACAAGATGATAAAGCCTGAAATACAAATGGTTTGACATTAATGGTTTACGATAATCAGCAGATCCCGAACATGGTGAAACTATCTTGGGAGCCCTCCCCTGCCAAATTAATGCTCACGTTCTGCTTATTTTGGCCTTCCTCATATTCAGGGAGTTTTTTTTTTTTTTCAACCGGCCAATTCCAGAGGCTTAGTTTCCTCCCAAACGTAAGAAAGGAGGTCAAAGTGTGTGCAGTGCGCACGGGTCTAGCCTGAGGATTTTCAGGGGCTCTGGATGGCTCTCGTGGCCCTGGGCTAGAGAAACTCCTAACACAGGTGAATCGTGGGGTGGGCAGAGGTGGGGGCTTTATTTATCCTCAAGAATCCTCTCTGGATCATACACTTCCCATGTGTAGGGAGGACTTCAAAAATTCTTTAGGGAATTTCAAAACCTTTCGGATGGTTTACATGAATAATAAAGTGTGTCTTTTTCGGAAGAACTGGTTTTCTAGTATTAGGTGTCCTATCAACTCAGAAACACAAGTTATTTATAAACTACAGTAACAGTTCCAGAAAAGCACAGATTAAGTAGAGAATTCTACTGAGTAGTACTTCAAGTTTTCTAGGCTACAAATGAAAACACGGTATTATGAGAAAGAGGTACCCTGAAAAAAGTTGAAATTGAACTTAGAACTAATCTAACTCAGGCATTCTGTGCACACCTACACAGGAATAAACCCAACTGTCTGGGGGAGAAATGAAATGCCATTATACGTGTGTTGAAAACAAATTGCTACGTGAATTTCCATGGTGACGCTGACTTAAAAGTAAAATGAACTCACCATATTTGAAAATGATATACTTCTTTGTAGCATTTTGGATTCCTTAGAAAACATCTTCAGGGTGGAGTCTAATTTAATAACGAGAAGGCAGACATGTGAGAAAGATTTCCTGACCCTTACAGAGGACAAAGAACAGCCAGAGGCCAGCAGGCAGTGGCACACTCTTACAGAGAGCTGGGTGGCAGGTGGGGGGCTGATCTGCGGCCCATCTGGGCAACAGCACAGGCGACCTGTAACCCCTGGACGAGGAAATTAACATACCAGTAGGGGCCCGGCACACTGCTGACATTTCAGCATGACTGAACACACAGCTGGCCCAGTCACTGACAAGAGTTAAAAGTTAAAGAGAAGTAAAACAGCAATTTTGAATTAATGAAAACAAAAATCTTGCCAATATCTGGTTTTTTTTTTCTTTTTAAACAGCCCAGTTAGAGTGTGATACCCTTGAATTAGCATTTATGGAAGAACCACTCGACTTTCTAAAGGATAATAAAGTAGGGATTATAATGTCCTTGCCTAACAAACAAAGGTGTAGCAAAACAATTTCTTTAAAAACCAAGATTCACAAAACTTACAATGAGCTCCAAACGCCCCATATTCGAAACATGTAACAACTCATTTCCTAATCTGTAAACATATAACGAGATAAATAAAAGGCCCGAATGAGTTTTAGGCAATTTCTTCTGTACAGTAAAAGGTAACCTCTCAACCTAATTTTTGCAACATCAACACACACGAGCCCTGAGACTTCGTAAAACTGAGAATTCTCCAGGATTAGCTTGGAAACAAAGCCAGAAGAGTGAGCACATGACCTGAACTTCACCCTGTGGGGCATAATTACTTCTGAGACTTTCCAATGGTGCTTCTGATTCTAAAGAATGCCCCTCCTATTGAGCATTTTTGAGTATTCACCCCAGGGTCTACGAAAGCTCACTAATTTGGGGCATCCTATAGAAAGCCATAAGCCAGCCTGGGGGATAAGGATGCTGTTCTCAAAACCAAAGGTTCCCTGCGTGTGCTGGGGGTGATCCTGTCAAAGGCGGCTATAAGAGCCAGGCTCACAGGTGATGGGTCCCCGCCGAATGCTCACATCACTAAACGCATCTACCACGGGAGGAAGAAAGGTCACTTTGGGGTGGTGATCTCGATATGTATAAATCAGTAATACAAGTTTTATCAACAGAAGAAAGAAACCAGAAAAAAACCAATGCTTCTCACTTAAAAGAAACCTCTTTCTCCTTTATTTGTCAAATTAGCAAAGAAGCGACACAATGCTTAATAAAAGCCTCAGAGTTGCAAAGCCTTGACACTCCTAAGACTCAGGGTTTTACAAGGTCATACAAGTACAATGGACTAAAGGATTTAACAAACCATGTCAGACAAATCTGGCTAAGAACACAGGCTCTGATTGAAGCATTTTGTCTTGTGTTATAATGCTGGCACATTCAGCGGGCAGGATCCTGGCAAAACACGGATGGCTTCCTTCTACCGGAGCAACACCTCCATGACCCCAACAGGGCCCGGTGCGTGTCCTGCATGTTCACTCCCTTTGGTCTACAGTACGATCACTTTATGTTTTTAAATTTATTTTTATTCTATTTTAGAGTGAGCGCATGAGTAGGGGAGAGGGACAGAGGAAGAGAGAGAGAGAGAGAGAGAGAGAGAGAGAGAGAGAGAGAGAGAGACTATTAAGTAGGCTCCATGCTCAGTGTGGAGGCCAACTTGGGGCTCCAGCCCACGACCCCGGGGTCATGACCTGAACCAAAATCAAGAGGCGGACACTCAACCGACTGGGCCACCCGCGCGCCCCTACGGTAGAATCGTTTTTTATACTTTGTGGAAAATTCTGTTTCATGAAACCTGAGACTGTACTGGGAAGGGAAAGGAACGACGTGCTACAGACAGTAAACCACAACCGCAGAACCAGAGCGTAGCAACTCTCGTTTATCTGGAGGTGTCTGGTTAGCACCATTGCTGACCTCCAGCGACAGAAAATAGGATTTCCTCTGAAAAACGCTAAAGAAGAAGTACCCTCAAAAAACAGCCAGCTACTAACTCTGTCAGAGCAAGTTGTAAAACACAAGCAGGACAGTGGAGACATAATTTGATAACGCATAAGAACATTAACAGTGTATGAACTGGGTTTCCAGCTGAAATCGACATCAAACACCCTGAAATACATACCAGGGGCAAGAACGAAAACCTTAGCAGCGGCAAATGCGCCCCTTCACGCTCCGCGCCCTGGGACGCCCTCTGCTGGACACTGCGGCACCCCGCCCGGCCCCCGGGCTCAGGACCTCAGCCAGCCCCGAGGCAGAAAGGGCCCCACCGAGCAAGCAGATGGGAAACCAGCGCTTTCTGTCCCTTAAGTTTCGGGAAACCTTGTCAGCAACAGAAAGGCACTTGCGTGATTGTTTCTGGCAAACTACGAGGAAGCTGCGTGCTGAACGCCACAGCTGCTCAAAATTCACGTTTTGGGGAGGCAGCACACTCAAGTACAAGCCCCTGACCGAGAGTTAACAGACTTCCGCAGCTTGGACGCTTCGCGCTTCCGGGCGAACCACCTTTCGGGCAGGAGACCTACCTTGCGACGTGGTGAAGACGGACGAGCCGTTGCCAGACACTGCGATTCCAGTAACCGCCCTGTGTAAAAACAGACTTTGATAAATCACCATCGACCGTGTGCCAGACGCGAGTCTCTTCCGAGTCTCTGATTTCATGTCACCAAGCTCCTGGGATTCCCCTCGTCACATCTGTCTGCTGGATCCGTCCCACCCGTGACACCCGCCGCTGCCAGACCATCGCCGGGGAGCCTCTCATTTCGTCTGGACGATGCCCGTGGCTAGAAATCATCCCCACTCCCGGCTTCCCTGGCTGCCACATTCCAAGTCGCACACCGTCCTGACAGCTGGGAAAGTGGGATGCTTCTCCTTCCGTCCACTCTCCTGGACCATCTCGAACATTACCGAACCCCTCTCTTCTTCACGCTCGCTCGCTCGCTTCGTGGCGGAGTCGAGTTTACCTAGCATCTGTTCACCGATGACACCCTTGTCTGGTTCCGCCATTTCCTCCTAAAGGACCCTTTGCGTATTCACTGCCTTGGATGATAAGGCCCCTTTCTGTGCATCACGTGGAGAAGTTGAGACAAGGGAAAGCCTCTGTTGTAATGAGGAAGGCAGGACGCTTTCTTTTCAGGAGGCTGTGCTCTGATAGGAAGCCACTGGTCTCAAGTAAGTGGCACATTCAGTTCCACCCATGACCAGTGGTGTATGTGGCATCAGCCTGTGGGAGGGGACGTCTGTGTGCACGGGACAGGACAACGGGCCTCACCCCTGAGCTGGCGTTTTCTTATCTGTGACAGGATGGCTGAGGGGACGTCAGTGCTTCTCAAGCCTTTCCGGCACAGTGCGTGAATGACCTGACGGCAGAAGTCTGAACGCCCGAAACCCCTCTGGGTCTGACAGCAGGCCCGTATTTTTTGAAAGGATGGGTGTTATTTTGAAAACTCCTATCGAATTTAGCACTTTAATCTCTTTCTCTCTCTCAATACACACATTTGTTGTAATTTTTTTTACAAAGACACATTCTCTCCTACAATATCAGTAAAATTCAACATCCAGGGAGGATACACTGTGCTTCTGCCATGGCTCCGCACCATCAAAGCCGAGAGGGGTCGTGCGCCCCAGCGTGAGAGGCACAAATCTACCTGCTGACTGCAGACCCCATCCTGTGCTCTAGAAAGACCGGGGCATGGGATGCTGACATAAATTCATTTTGTGCCAAACTCTGTTTCCCTTGCCACACTGACCTCAGATGGCTGATCACTACAGACATTTTGGGGGATAAAAACCGATCAAGACAGCACTGAAAGAGAATTTCCACCCCCTTGACTCCACGTAAAACCTGGGGCCCCAAGCCAAGACCCCGACCTCTGCCATGATGGCACAGAGACACTCTTACTCTTTGTGGATTTTATATCGCTCGTGTAACTGCAGTTTGGTGATGTTATTCCAGGCCAGTGTTTTGCTTTCTTCGGTCAGGTCCTCAAAAGACTCTTCACCTGGAGAGACTACATTGAATTGTTGCTAAGTGAGTCAACTCAATTACTAACGTGCAACCCAGGCAACAAATACCAGAATCACCATATTTTCTATTAAAATCAAACGACCAAGGAAACAAAATGCCCCACTGAAATAGAACTGCTTTGAAATGTACCTGCTAGGCAGCTCCATGTTGGTCAAGGGAAAATGATAAAATGTATAATCTAAGTAAGATAAAAAATCCTGTGGGGAAAGACTAAAAAGTACCTATGTGGTAACTGAAGTCATTTTAGACTCTTATCAGCGTCTGCAAAGTTTTCACTCGCCCCTAGCTTAGGAACCTCAGGAAACACAGACTGAGTAACTACTTCCTTGTCAGTAATCTTGCAAAAACCCGTTTCCGAAAAATGCTGCGGTGTCCTTTTGGTTTTGAGGGGGAGAAAGAGCAGTGATACGATCAGAGCTACAAGTGCCCCCGGACGGGACCAGCGAGGCCATCCCTCCTGTTTTATGAGCGGCTGGCACAATTACCCTTTCAAATCATCACAAGACAGTGGTATGAGCCTGCTGACTAAACGGGGCACAGGTTTAAGAGGCATCACAAGACAGTCCTATGGTCTCTATGACTTAACCCCGCGGGACATGACCTCTCAGAGAACTCCCAACCAGCCCTGGCTCAAGGGCCCCTGCGAGCCACGCCTCCACGCAGGAGGGAGCACTCAGCTGTTTGTGCACAAGCCCGAAGCTGTGTGTGTGCCCGGAACAGACGCACAAGCGCAGAGGAGGAGAAATCATGTGACTGTGCTCCCCATGTTCCACGTCCTGTCAGACTCCTTCTGGGAGCCAGTGGGTTTGAGGCTGTCCTACGTGCCATGTACAACATGGATAACGGGATAAAGGGGAGTATTCTTTCCTCCTTTTCCAAACACTAGATGTGAGAACAGGCAGGGTCGAGTTCAGTTTGAGCACGTAGCACATGCCTGGCACACAAGAGAGACTCTGGAAATGTCTGTCAAATGACTGAATAAGGAAAAAGAATTCAGTAAAGAAAATAAAGCACCTGGAACTCAAGACCTGTGTGTGGGGAAGGAGGAGGAGAACTCGGGCTGGAGGAAGTCATTTCTGGGACAGAGCCGGGAGGAGCCGGGTGAAGCGGCAGGTCCAGGACGCGTCCACGCGGACGTGTGAGCGGCTAAGGACCGAACGGCAGCATGGAAAACCACAGAGAAGAAAGAGAAGCAGAATGCTAACAGAGTACTGCCAAGTCTCATGTGACGTAACACTACCAGAAAATAAAAGTAACCTGGTTTTCTCTGAAGTCAGTAGTCAAACACAAAACAGCGACAAAACCAGGCTTGTTGGAGTCGTTTCTCAGCTGAACTGCAGTAAGATGGCCAAACACACCCACCTCCAGGGAACGCGACGGCTCCCGCTTCAGCTACGCTTCAGAATCTTCCGGAACATCTTCAGAAAAGAGCAACACAAGGTGCTCACGTTTATTCCCTTTACAAAACGTACCTGGAGAATCCACTAGGGGAGCATTATGACCGCAGGTCTGGGAGAAACTTTTACACTTTGGGGTGATCCGTCGAGGATGGGGCGTCACAAAGAGCTGTTTTGGCGTCTGCCCAAATTCCAAGATTTGGGTTAGCATGGCCACTTTCTCATCAGGGTCCTCGATGCTTTAGGACAGAACACAAATAATGCAGTGAACCTCGAGGTTCCAGTTAGTTTCTTGAAAGCACAAACGTCAAAAGATGCGGGTCAACACGAGAGGTTAACCCTCACATAGCTGCTGTTGAGCAACAGCTATGTGCCGGGACTGCTGAAGCCTCATTACAGGTTGTTCGATCATTTTCTGAGGCTCCAGAATGTACCTAGTGGTGAATGCAAGATACTATTCATTGTGAAATTTCCGTACCTTAGTATCATTCACAGAGCTGCAGCAATCATTTAAAGAAGTACTTGTTTTTTTATTTTAGAGACAGAGTGCAAGTGGGGGAGAAGGGGAAGGGGGGGTAAGAGAGAAAGAGAGATTGAGAACCTTAAGCAGGCTCCATGCTGAGCACAGAGCCCAACACGGGGCTTCCTTCCACGATCCTGGGATCATGACCTGAGCCGAAATCAAGTCAGGCGCTCAATCGACTGAGCCACCCGGGTGCCCCGATAAAGAGGTATTTTGTAACTTAAGTAGAAACTCCTTACAGACATACAAATACCTGTTCAAGTCTACACCTCCTTCGTAGGTCAGCGGATGAAATACTGAAAAAGGAGATGAAAAACACTATTGAAAGAGGTCCTGTTTAGATAATATACACGCTGTACAGAGTTCTGTTTTTTCTTTTAAACTCAACAGCTTTAAATTTTTATTCAAAGAAATTGACGGTCGCTTTGCAAAAATGACTAATAATATCCAACGGCAATAAATATCAATTTGGGCTATTACCTCTCACAGAGCAGAAATCTCATCGGCAGCTCAGACAGTCTGTTATCTCCGGGTGTTTCCCCACCAGCACTTCAGGCCCCCACCCCCACCCCCCACCCCCCGCCCCGGGGCAGCACAAATCACCCCGCACTGCCCCAAACTTTCAGCTCAGGAAACCTGGAGGCGGTAAGAACCAGGCTGAGGAGGAGGTGAATTCTGCTCTGTCTTACTGCTCAAAAACAAGACACTCTGGGCCCTTCATGGGAACGGAGGGTGCTCTCCTAGTCTATCCTGACTGAGTTTTACTTGAGATTATTGGGTGGGATGGAGAGTACATGCTAAAACTGGAAGGCTGTGGAAAACACTTCTCGGGATCATGGTAAAGTTGATGTTCTTAAGGCAAAAGTCCTTCCCCCTCTGTGGCTCAGTCTCTGATCCCAGAGGCGGGTGTCAGATGCTTCTGCTGCACCAATGCCTCAGTTTTTCTTTCTTCCTCTTCTTTTTTTATTTTATTTTTTATTTTGGGTTTGCTTTCGCTTTTATCAAAGGCTACAGGAACTTTCCGAGACTATCACGTACCATTATGGGCCCCAACAGCATCGGTGCCTTTTTGCTTGTAGCCAAATATTAGATCGATCCACTCATGAAGGTGTTCGGACACGTAACCGCTTTCCAACGCCTCTTTGCTCTTCTGGAGAAAGTCCTCGGGACCTATTAGATTAGACTTGATCAAAACATCAGTCTTCATTTGTTTTCTCCCATTTCTTGTCTGCCCGTATGCAGATAAAGCTTCTAGGAGAGGCAAGAGGTACATATTTCTTAATGAGGTTTCCCCCCCCCCCCCGCCCCCATCACATAAAATATAAATTTTGGTGGGAAGCGGGGGGTGGCAAAAGTCACGTTCACAACATTTAGGTCTTTCAAATACATATCAGTGTTTTTGCCTCTTAGACTCACAGACCATTTCTGATTTGGAATAGGACTGCTATTGCCTCATTTACATAGAAAATTACACCATCATTTAAAACCACCCAGGCAACTATACATACTAACACTAAAATGGCACTGCCGGGTGAGGAACTGTTTAATTCAGTACTTGCATGGTGGTACTCACTCCGTGCCCAGGGCGGAAGTTCAACGTCATCCACCATCTGCCCTCCCTGTCTCTTGCCCAGATCCAACTTCAGACTATTAACTAAAAAGCTGACATCATCGCCATAGAATTCTGGAATCAACTGAAAGTGTCAGGGGAAGAAAAAGAAAAAAAAAAAAAAGGAAAGGAAGAGCAACGAATATTTTTTCAAGCAGTTGGAAACCACAAGCCCAGTGAATCATTAGCTTTAATAACCACTTACCTCTTTAAAGTCTGTGGCACCATCCAAACAGTTTTTCCAAGTTTCTGCAATACTAAATACAAAAAAAAAAAAAAAAAAAAAAAAATCAACTGATCTGAACGCTCAGGTGAGTGAAACAGCAACCGCATCGGGGTCTATGCAGCTAGGTGTTGGTCTACACTTTACCTGCAGTGACTCACTTCTCTAACTCACAATTCTCAACGTTTGTATGAGGATCCCCTTTTACAGAAGAGACACCTCCCTGAGCTCATGCAGAGAGGGACACGGGGGGAAGGACACAGACCCAGATGGGGTGTCTCCGAGTCCTTGCCGGGAGCCTCCGCACACACAGCGGCCGGTGCTTAGACACGGAAAACCTAGCACAGCCGTTGTAATAGCTCATTTCAAAAAGGAATTATAAATAAACAAGCGTACAGTTTAAAAAATGATCAGAGAGGCACAGATGAAAAGATGAACAATGAATATTATCTAAGCATGGTGGGAGGCCAAGTGAACTTAATTTTCTTCTTCATATTTTCTGATTTTTTTGCAAGGAACTATTACCTTTACAATAAAAAAGTTAAATGCTCAAAGGGAATTATAGTCAATAGTATTATTTAGAATAACAAAATGTCAGAAATTGTCTAGATGTCCAACAATAGAAAAACTGCTAAAATACTTAAATTATGGCACACATCAGGATATGATATGGGAATTTAAAAAAATCACTGTTTTGAAGAACATGTAATAATATGGAAATATGGAAAACTTCAATATCTAATACGAGGCTGCAACAGGCAGGACAAAAGCTGTATTTAAAAGAAGTTCTTGGGGTGCCTGGGTGGCTCAGTCGGTTAAGCGTCCGACTTCGGCTCAGGTCATGATCTCGCGGTCCGTGAGTTCAAGCCCCGCGTCGGGCTCTATGCTGACAGCTCAGAGCCTGGAGACTGTCTCAGATTCTGTGTCTCCCTCTCTCTGACCCTCCCCCATTCATGCTCTCTGTCTCAAAAATAAATAAACGTTAAAAAAAATTTTTTTTAAATAAAAAAATAAATAAAAGAAGTTCTTACAGTTACATACACACACACACACACACACACACACACACACACACACACACACACACACGTGCACCCACGACTAGAAAAAGCCTGAATGGAAAAGATATACCAATCAGTGATTCTTTACATCTCTTGACATTTTAGTATCCAGTTTTTGGAAGCAAACACATTGCATGTTTGTAACTAGAGGGTTTAAAACACGGTAAGGGAAGCATTAGGCCAAACCTGTTGAACATTCTGTCTGCATTATCAAACCTTCCGTTCTGCAGGCACAGCATGTACTCTGGTGCTAGGGGGGAGATCAGAGTAAAGTGAGACCACCGAGTCACCGAAGACGCCACGTGAAATAGCACTGCATTTGGGAGCAAGGGTAAAGAACCTTACCGATCCTAACAAGGTAAAACAGCACGTAGCCCGGAGAAGAGTAGTGACTGCCGTACATGAACTTTGGCTCTGGCATTTCCTGGTAGCGGCTCTACAACACACGGAAGATCCTGCTGAGTGCTGGCCATGAAAGTAACAACTGACCCAAGTAGTAAAAGCCTCAGCTCGTGGCATGGATACATTATATCCCCTAATTTCTCTCTTGAATAGGAATAGAAGGAAGGGAAAAAAAAAGGAATAGAAAATAAAACTGCACACACACACAGTGTTCCTGTGATAAGTATTTTGCTTTTCTTGGCTCAGTGGGAACAATGCTGGGCTGGATTGAATAGAATGGATTTTATGCATCTCTTGAGCAATTTACCAGAGCACCTTCATGAAAATAAATCAGTCAACTAGTGATCAGTAAACTCCTACTTCCTGAATTGTAGGCCAAAGATGCAAATGGCGGGTGAGCAGCGAAACCCACGGGGGAAGGCAGCGGGCAGAGAGGATAGTAAGAAGAAATATGACGTAGATCCTCTGGTCACTCGGCATAGTCCTCATCTAAGTCTTGGAGAAATGAGTTTCCGTTACTATAGACACAGAGGCCATGGCTCGTGGAGTTGTTTAGAAGCCGGGTATCCCCGAACCCACATACCAGAAGTCTTTCCAGCCGTTCCTTGTTTAGAGCCCCTACTGGCCTGCTGAGATCCCGGAACGTTCCCGGATTGGACAAATCTGTAAAAATAAATACATTTTTAAAAATGAATTATTTTGGGGTGCCTGGGTGGCTCAGTCAGTTAAGCGTCCGACTTCAGCTCAGGTCATGATCTCACAGCCTATGAGTTCGAGCCCCGCATCAAGCTCTGTGCTGACCGTTCAGAGCCTGGAGCGTGTTTCGGATTCTGTGTCTCCCTCTCTCTCTGACCCTCCCCCATTCATGCTCTGTCTCTCTCTGTCTCAAAAATAAATAAATGTTAAAAAAATTAAAAAAAAAAAAGAATTATTTAAAATAAAGCAAACAAGCTTATACTTAAGAACCTCACTTCCCACACAACAGATACACATGCACACATTTATTTCCACAAAGTTTTTGAAAAACTTGAGACAGACCCATTAGAATTCTAGTGTTTCTGATAGTTACTTATGCAGCTGTAACGGTTGCAGCCTGAGCTTTAAGTTAGCAACAGTCACTCAAGAGTAGCATCTCTAGAGGCGCCTGGGTGGCTCAGTCGGTTAAGTGTCCGACTTCAGCTCAGGTCATTCTCTCCCGGTTCATGAGTTTGAGTCCCATATTGGACTCTGTGCTGACAGCTGGAGCCTGGAGCCTGCTTAGGTTTCCCCTGCCTCTCCCCCCTGCCCCTCCCCCATGTGCGCCAACGAATGTGACTCTCTTTCTCAATAAACATTAAAAAAAAAAAAGTAGCATCTCTAATTAAAAATAACCTCCATAATTATTTTTTTTTTTAAAAAAAAACTACAAACTAAAAAAAAAAAAAAAAACAAACACCTATATTCCAAGGAAAACAACAAAAATAAACACATTTTAAAAGCTAGTATTCTACAAGATTTATGGTTTAAGTTTGAATTATAGTCAACCTTATTTTTCTTATTTTTCTATTATAGCACAATTTGAGAATTGGGGACTGAATATTAGCAGAGAAATAAATTCTCATTCTTAGAAAATCTGTTATTTCCTTCAAGTGTGAGGGTTCAATCAGTCAACTGTCAGAAAGAATTTACTGCCCACAGTACGTTATTTAGAAATACTAGAAAATAAAATTATAATAGAATCACATTTTTGTTAGAAGTAATTTGAGAGATAAATACACAAAGTTAAAATGGTTGCCACTCATTTATGTAATTATTGATGGTTTTTATTTCCTTCTTTAAATATCTCAGTACTTTCTACATGTTCTGGAATGAATAATTATTACTTTTGGCAATCTCATTTTTGAGCGTGAATTTTAAAAGTCTATGACAACCTGGAACAAATTTTCAAAGTGAAAAACGTATTTCTAACGTGGTAATCAGAGGTAATGCTGGTAACTGGCTTCAAATCGTCTGCCTACTTTCTGGGCAGGTCTTTCCGGAAGTATGGCGGGGTGAGGGGGGGAGGGCGGGGCTTTTGTGAGGACTAAAAAAAATTGAGATAGTGGAGAAAACACCTATGAAACCCATATATAATTTATGGAACACTTATCCAGTGTCTCAGAATGGACATTAGCAACCTTCACTAAAAAAAAAAAAAAAAAAAAAAAAAAAAAAAAAAATAAAGATGAGTGCTAACGTGCTTACATATCACAACACGATTCTCAGTGAGAATTCATTCTTCCCTCTACAAACTCGGCGCGGCGGCAATTACCCAGTTCTGCGCTGCAGTAATCGTTTATTATCCACGGAAACACCGGGTACTGAGAGAGGTCGTTGCAGCTGCGGTCGGCCAGGTTGTTGAGGTGCAGGAGGTACTGGTAGTTGGAGAGGTGCCCGCGCTGCCACTGCAGGGTGTAGCTTTCGGCCGTGCGCTCCGCGACGTGGTGCTCTGAGGAGGACGGGGCCCGCGGTCACCACCGAGCTGGGCGAGCGCTGGCTACGTGCTACTGAGCGTGTAAAAGCTAGGTGCTTTCAACGGAGGCCCTTCAACGCGTTTTTGAAAAATACATTTGAAGAAAACGAGGGGCGCCCGGGGGGCTCCGTCGGTTGGGCGTCCGACCTCGGCTCTGGTCATGATCTCACGGTTCACGGGTTCGAGCCCCGCGTCGGGCTCTGTGCGGACAGCTCAGAGCCTGGAGCCTGTTT